AGGCAGCTTTGACATCAGAATTGACACGATTGGCTGTGGCATAAATCCCTGAAGAGACGCCAGTGTTGGGAGCGCAGCGCAGAACGGCCCCGGTAACGCAATTTTCTCTATTTAAAAAAGTCCTATAGCAATCCCATGGACAGCGTAAGTCTAGCTTGATAAATTAGATGTAGAATGCAGCCCCAGCCCAGCAAGGACATACCGTCTGACAGCTGAGCTATGAATACTGCCTGAACTATTTCTTGTAACATGTGCAATCTCACACGCTGCAGGCAGCTGCCAATACCATTTCTGAAGGGATTTTAAAAAGTGGGAAGTTTGATATTTAGGATGCAAATCTAGAGGATTTATGTAAGGATGGATTTGGGATTTCTTTTCAGTGGCTCCCAGCAAAATCAACCCTGGTGTTAACTTTGAGTTCAGTGAGGCCACAGTTTTACCATCTGAAGTTTTCAATTAAGTAGTGGATAAAACTATACAGGGTTACATAGGGCTACGCCATACTGATACATCAAGCATGTGTAATGACTTCTTCAGATATACGTTGCAAGGTGAATAGGTTTCATAGCAGGAGTTCCACATTCCCAGTGGTAGCGCTTTACCTGTTCTTCATCAGCATTCCCCATCATTCCCTCCACTCTCTGCTGGCCTTTGCTGGAGACTGTCCTACCCATGGGGTTTGTACCATGTAATAATTTCAATCAGTGACATTTCCCTAGTTATCTTCTTACTGAAATTGTTCTACGGGTATAATCTGTACGGACATGGCTGTACCAGTTATGAAGGTACTTTGGATGAGTTCAGGTTATTTCATAGCAGTGGAACATTCCTGTCATTAACAGGGTTGTATCATATTAATTAGCCAGGTACACTAATAACTATCCAAAACATGAAACAAAATTCAGATGATAACCCAAACCCTTCCTGTTAATCACAAGTGACTACAGGCTACAATTTGCACGAGTGCACATGTGGGGGGGGGTGCACGCGGGCACAAGGCAGGCAGATAAAATAAAAAGCAATAGCCCATGGGAGTTTCCTAGGGGATTGCTCTGCATACAGGAAAACATAGTGAAGGAAAGTGAAAAGAAGGTTAAAACCAGACACGTATCCATCAACTCAATTAAGACTCGAGGGGAGAAGCTGAAGGCTGCTGCGCGGTACAGGGACTTAATGCTCCTCCAAGACAGAGCGGCAGAGGAAACGCTGGAGAAGGAACTTTGCTGCCATGTGAGCAGAATTAATGGGTGGATCTGGACCGGCTGAGCTGCTGAGCCACTGCTTCTCAATGAGTTGTTAATGGGGAACATGGAGAGTTAGGAAGTAATGAGGACTTTGTCAATACAGCTGTGGATAAAAGTGGGTAAGGAACCACTTAAGGAAAAAACCATCGCACAAATCTGCAACTACAGATTCTGTGCTTTCCGGTGCTTAAGAAATTACTTGCAATAATTTTGGAAGTGTTATAGAGGCTGAGAAGCAAAACACAACCACAGGACAGATCCTTTTATTAAACCAGAAGCGGCAAGCAAGAAAGAAATCTTGGTAACAGTGGTCTCATCTACAATTTCTTCTTTTTTTTTAATTCCCGGGAAAGCAAAAAAATTAACAAACCTAAATAATCTGCAGCCGCCCGCAGTTGGAGACACCAGAGAAGCACTGCTTTCATAGCCAACACCTGGCACAAGACAGATGTCTCCATTGCATCCTGGCTGGGTGCATTATGGAAGGGGGACCCCACAAACAGGTCCAAACCCCCTCCTGTACCTCCACACCTACCAAAATAGCTGTCTACACAGTACCCAGGGCCATTAGATAACCCACCCCAGCAGGACTGGCTTGTGTTGGTGCCAACACCACAGTCAAAATATCAGAGGGTTTCTTCCAAAGTGACCAGATTGAAAGAACAATATGAATTTGGGGTGGGAGGGGGTCATGCATCCATCTTATGGTTGGGCTTGTTGGCATTAGGAAGTGGGGAATCTTTTCCAGGTTTTCTGAGCAATCCTGGCCACTTTCCACCTCCTCCCCCTCCTGTGAAAGTAGCCGCCCTGCAAGAGCCTTGCTGTATAATCATTTTCCTCTTTTATTTTATGTAAAGACAAACACTATTAAAAACACACCGCATTCTCATTTCTTTACCTCCACAAAGAGCAAACACAGAGAAACACTCCCTAAAAAATACTCCCTAGAAACAAAGCGCCGGATTTATTCGAAGGTAAACATCCCATTTCACGCATCCCCCAAGACTTTGAGGGAGGTACCGCTTTCTGTGCTAGAAAGTGCTAAGCCAGGCAGGACCGTCACCATACTGGCTTCCCTCCTGTATCCAACCTCCACAGAAGGACACAGAAAGCCTTTGCGGCTCCCTAATTCAACTTGGTTCAGAGCCGAAATCCAGGTGGGCTAGAGATGGGTGGGAAGGATGGGAGCTGCTCTCAGGGGGCCACCGAGCCCTGCAAGCGCTGGGGGAGCTCTCTGGCCACATCCCGCAACCCCTTCCACCCTGGGCATGCATGGTCAGGGAGGAGGAGGCCAAGACGGTAGCCAAGTTGTCTTCATGTGAGCCAAGGATAACCCCTGTTTCATGGAAACACTGCCTACAGCCAGATCCATGCAGTCCTGGCTTCTCTGCACCAGCAGGGACACAGAGAGGCCAAGGATGGGGAAAGACACCTGGACCTCCTTGCTTCCTTCTGGGCTTCTTCCAACATAAAAGCAACTGTCGCAGCTGGAGAAGACAGGGAATACGGCACGTAGATATGGCACAAAGCCTGCAAATATTCTGCATAGAAAAACGTCACATTTAACAAACCCACTCCCCCGCAACGCACAAAAACCGATCATGGAAACCGAAACCACCAGAAATAAGTCACGGACCTCAAAGCATGCTGGCATATAAAGAAAGGACAGGAAATAGGTAGAAAGGCTCCTCAGAGCACCAAGGAGAAGTCAGCTTTACCAGTCTCTTCTCCAGGCAGCACAGGATGGTTGCGTCCAGCTGATGAAGCTTCAGAGCACAACCCCATGGAAATATCCAGGCTCAGGCTTAACCCTGCATCACTCCCACTCCAGTGCTAAGTACTAATGCATGTTTGATTAGGCAACAGGAGGAGTATCTGCTCCTTCCAAAAGTGACCACAAGCTCTTGGCAATAACACCAAGTACTTGCTCTGGCCCTAGCCGCACACCGCAGTTGTTAAACTGGCCTGCCAAAGGAAGACGTCTTGCCAGACGGAGTATTCAAAATAAAGCGAAGAAGAACAATCGCTTTAAATAATCAGTGTTTCAAGTGCTCTAACAAAGAGAACATGTATTAAGGCAACCTCAGAGAAAGGAAAACCTATTAAAGCAAATGCTAAAAGTGATTTTTCAAATATTCCTCCCCTTTTCACTTTCCACAGGGAACTCTGCAGAAATCTTACAAAACCAGAGCCTCAGCATTATTCACCTTTATATTCCCACTGGTTCCAGTGGCACTACTCCCACAGATGGGGACTACAGATCAGGTGAGGGTATTTTCTAATTTGGTTATTTTTTGTGCATACTAATCACTCTTGGACATGAGTTAGGCCTTCCACAATAACAAGGCTAGATGACAAATCATGAAATTAAAAATAATTTAGAAAAACAAGAAAATTCTGGATTCTTGTCATTTTCTTTTTCTTTTTTTTTTTTTTTTTAATACTTTGGAAACAATAGAGCAAAAAGCGACAAACATGCTCACACAGCGACCCAAACTTGAAAAGAAACAAAATGCCATCCAAAGGCAAATGGCAAAATTCCCAGTAACATCATTAATGCCAGAGTTTCATCTTGTATGCTTTTCTGTGAATCAATACAAAAGTATTTCAATGAAGACATCATCTTGTATACCATTTAAGATTACCCACACAATGAGATTCTCAAATGCTGTTTCTGAGATGCAGACCTCATACTGAAACAATAACCAAGCCCCGTATGTGCGGCTCTCGGGGCACACGTGCAGATCAGAGTTTGCCTCACACGTACAGCACAATATGTGCATCAGGATGTAAATGTGGAGCCCAGCTTGAAAAAGCAGCTTGCATTTGCACCACCCATCCTAAAAATGAATGCCCAGCACTTTCCAAGCACCAGCTGCTCCTCTCGTCTCCATTACTGGGGAAGCCTGTTTTAGGGCTGGTGAGAAGCATGGCAGGGAAACAGCACAGCGTGCCTTAGCACACAAGTGGAGGCTTCTGTTAGTAGAGGGTTTGCTGGGCTTTTGACAGGAGATGGCTTTATTTTTTTGGCCAGCAAGCTGTCCCGGTTGCTTTCTGCAGCACCCGGGTGCAGAGCTGCCCTGCGCTGGGCACCCTGCCTGCCTGCCAGCATTTGGTAACCCCCTCACCAGCTTCAGTGGGGTCTCCTTCTCACCTTAGGGCAAAGCCTGAGTCAGGACAGGGCCTCAGGCGTGCCTCCCCTGCCCCAGCCATCCCCGGAGAGGGGACAACAGCAGCACAGCCGGAGTCTGCCACGACCCCAGCCACGGCAGCCCCAAGGTTACTCCTGCACCCGGGTACTCGGCACGGCTGGAGCCCAGCATCTTTAATGACCTCTCCTTTCCACACACTACTCTATTCATTTTCCACTTCCCCAATCGCAGCTGTCGAGCCCTATTAACGCGTAGAAAAAACACATTTAAACCCAAACCTGCTAGGCCAGAAATAGAAGTTCTCATTTTCTTTTCCAAAACACAGAATAGCTGAGCAACAACGAAAGGAAAAGGAAATCTCTCCCGAGTGCACATCTGGAACCAATTTGCTGTATGTAGCCACTGGGTGTCACTTTTGATATATATTGGGTCAGCCACGCAGCGCTTCGGCGAGAGAAACGGATTTCAAAGAGGTGATCCTAAACCAAACCAGACTGCTCTGCAGCCTCTCACTCGCAAGCTGTAATTAGCAATTAGCCAGCCAGGCTGATTTATTAACAAAACGTCTTCGCCACGACATTAAGCACCGTGCAGTGGCTCTTACCTCTCAGTCTGCAGCGTGACTTTTGACGGCTCCACGTTGGGGTTTTCCCACTCCATCTGCGGACAGTGCATGAAGTAGCACAGGGTGTACAGAGCCTCTGGCTCCCAGTAGAGCGATCCCTGCTTCTGGTGCATTGGCGTCCCGTTCCCGTGCTGCTTGGCGTTGAGGGGCTGGAGGTGGTGCATGGCTCGAGACACCAGGTCGCCTGGAAAAAAGCAAAAGCTGGGTGAACTCCAGGCTTTTCAGCTGCCTCTTCCCGAAGTTTTCCAACCAAAAGGCATGCCAGGTTGGTTTTCCCTTCCATTTAACCTCACATATGCAAACAGTGAAGGGTAGGACAGGATCCTGTGCACCGCTCATCACCAGGTCGGGCTTTGCCTGGTGGTTTATGCAGTGCAGCATGACATACCTGGGCTGCGGACAAGCCCCCGAAGGCCTGGGGGGCATGGTTTTCTGCAAATATGGTGTGTGGGCAGCGTCAGGCTGGCCCATCTCAGCACCACCAGAAGAGCCAGTATACCAGGGCTGGGGTCACAGCTATGTACAGGCAATCCTTGGAGGCTGCCAAAACCCCATAGTCCCCAAAATGACCAGCAGAGACAATTGCTGAGACCACCAAGAGTGGCACCAACAGCCACATGCTCCTGGGTGGAGAGCGGCAGGGAAAGGCAGCCCCTTGCAACGAGGAAGGAGGCAGTCAGACAACGTAGAGAGCACTGTGGGAGCGTGCGAAGGGACACACAGGTGAAGAAAAAAGGGGGGAAAAAATTGCTAAAAGACCGTATCAGAAATGTGCAACCAAAATCACAATTTGTAAGCCCAGGCTGGGCCTGGGAAAACTTCATGTTAGCAGAAGAGCAAAACCTGTGAAGTAGGCTCACCCAGTCCTTCAGGTTTCCAGAGCACAGAAAATGGCCCTAGAGGAGGATGCTCATCCTCTCCCCTGCGACGACATGGTTCTGGGCTCTTCCTCGCAGGGTGGGTATGGGAAACCAGCCGCAATATGCGGACCAGGACCAGCAAAGCCAGCAAGCAAGATTAGCAGGCAAAAATATATGGACAAGCAGCAGTGAGTCTCTTAACACAGTACTGATTGTAACTAATTAACTAAAGCATCTCCCTCCGAGGCAGTGAATTTTATGTTTGTTGACTAGTGACCGCTCTATCAAAGGCAGGGAAACAATTGTGGTTATAAACTGCCTGTTTTCACATGTTCAAATCACTCTGAGGCTGCTTTCGGGGGAAATAATGATCTTGGATCAAATCAGATGGTTTGTTTTAAATGAAAATCTGAGCAAGAGCCCTTTGGGTCATTCTTAAGCTATACAAAAGCGAGTAATGGGGAAAAGAGAACATAATTTTCCAGTGTTAAGAAGTCACACACTTTCTCTTATTTGCTTTTCCCAAGCGACCACTGAGCACCGAAACTTGGAAGGAAAAGCTAGAAATGCATACCAAGGTAGGAACATACTGGTGGTGGGGGGGGCGGGGGCCTGAATAATGAACTCCCAGGCAAACTTAAAGGAGAACCATTTTGACTGTGTGCAAGGCAGAGTACAGAGACGTTTTGCAGTCTCACCCCTGTGAACACATCACAGCACATCACCTCTCTCCAGCCTGACTCGCACAGAAAATGATGCTGCTGCTGCTGCGATAATGTGCACCAGGGAGAATAGAAACGTCTCGCTGAAAAATGCTCAGCCCAGTCCTCCAAAAACACAGCCTTAAAACCATGAAGAGAAGAAAACCGCTGGCATGAGAAAACTGCCGAGTCCATGATTTCAGGGTTTTGACACAATTTTTTGCTGCACTCTGCAATATTCCTCTGATTCAAAGCTTTCATTTAAAAATAGTTTCTGTCTTTTCCCTCTGCCAGGAAATTGTCATGATAGGACCAACCTTGCAGCCCTGCATGCTCATAATTTCCAGGAGAAGCTGTGCATGCACAAAGTCTGCAGGACCAGGTCTACAGCAGAAATAGATGTGCCTCTGAGATGACTGCCCAGTCCTGCACAAAACAGAAGCAGCAGGAAAGTTTGAGACCCCCTTCACTCAGCCCACTCTGTCACAGCAGACGTGCACTGCCAAGCTTAGCACAGGCCAATTTAACTGCTAGCAACCTTGCTGAAAGCAAAAGTAAACTCCCCTCTTTCTCCGAAAGGCAAAAGAAAAAAATGCATAGAAATGCTGGCTGCAACATCCAGCTTTAACAATAAGAGCAAAAGCAGAGAAAAAGGAGTTGCACTAGATTCAGCCTTTTCAGACCCAAGCCACTACGGCACTAAAGCATGTGGTTAAAGTTAAGCACATGATTAGTCTTATTTCAGTGGATTGAGACAGCAGGCACCAGAGAATGCCTCTGACTTCTGTACCGAACGATAAATAAAAATCAGGATGCAATTTAGGCCCGGATTCTGGCAGCAGCATTACTTCATCCCCACTCCTCCCCGAGCACTGGGGCGATGCAACTTCAATGACACATCCAGTGCCAGAAGCAGCTGCATGGTGCGTACGGAGGGAAAGCAGCAGCAAGAATGACGTAGGCAGGGTGGGCAGCCCAGCATCGCTGCTGATGCAAGGCTGGAGGAACTTGAGCCTCACTGAAATCAATGGCAAAGCTCCCATCCATTTCAATATGACCAGGAGTTCACCGGTTTATTCTGTATTTCCTCAACTGTTTCTTAAGAAACTCAAGCCAATTCATGCCATTAAGAACGAATTAACATTTTTTTATGCTTAAGCCTCATTTAATTACATTATACCAAGAATCGATCGGCTTAGATCTTGCTTTTGCCTTTGCTATGTTATCTCTGGTTACATTTCAAATAATTTCTATATTAACAATTATTGTAACATTCCTCTATCAGAGACAACTCAAGGCTTAAATAATCAATACCTTTAAAGCATCGAGCTTCACAGAGGACAGTAAGTCAGCAAAAAAACCTGCATTATGATCTTGGTACCCAACAGGCAGAGCTCTGGAGGCAGGACAGGAATCTCTGCTCTCTATTCCATTCCACAGCGTAACCTTGGACAAGTCACTGCATGCCCTGGTGCCCTTTTCCTCCTCCAGCTGCATCCAGTTACGGTGCAAATTCTTCAGGGCAGAGACTGTGTCTCAGCATATCTGTGCACCAGAATCAGTGCTGACAAGGGAGGAGGGAGGCGACAGGCGCACGCACACACTGTATGGTAGTACTTATGCACACGCTGTAAAATGTAGCGTACTGTAACATCTGGTTCAAGATGCACGTGTGTTGTTCCAATCCCTACCACATTTTGCTGCTCCTATTCTTCCTTGCTAATATGCTTTTGCTTCTCCATTTTCTTTTAAAGGATATACAAAAAGTTGAAATTCTCTTTGATCCTGGCCAGGGCACTCCAAAGCCCATGGACATGGAATCTGCTCCATGATGGGGCTCACCGGTCTGGTCTCCAGCAGTCAGCCAATTCAAGTCTCATCTGGGAAACTCAACCTCTCTTTGCCAGCTGTAAAAGCCACAGTACATCTGAAAACTGAGGGTAACCTTGAATTTGTAGCCAAGCATAGAGAGGGAAGCCCCCTTCACTACTTTGTGTTAGCCATCTCGGCTCCTCAGAGCCGTGTTCAGCTACGGAAACGCTCTGCAAGGTGACATTACCTGCTCGCAGCACTGCTGGCTCTTCTGCATCTTTTTTGGCCCTGAAAACATGTTTCTCATGTATCAACTGAGTGCATCTGGAAGGCCAATAAATTCCCGAGTGCATCATTTCCAAAAAAAACATAAAAACTAAAAATCGCAGCAGTTGAGTCGATCTTGTAACTGCAGGGACGTGGCTCCCGAGGGCTGTGGCGTCACGACACAACGGGCTCGGCGGGGACCCCTGCCTCGAAAAACCGCTTCCCCCTGCACTCATTCCCGCCCCGGTACCCCCGCCTGCAACCCATCTGAGGAGCAGCCTAGGGAGCCGTTCTGCCTGACAAAAAACCTTGCCAATTTTATTTTGTTTTTAATTTAAACCAAATAAACACTTCCACAATTTATGCAACGTAAGCCAAGTGAGCCAACGCACAAAATGCTCTGCTGGCAGAGCCAGGGAGAGGAAGACATCACGTTGTGCGGGGTAGACACACACAAAAAAAAAAATGAACAGCGAGGTGGGGGGATATTTGAGGATATTTCTGTTGCCGAAGCTGGGAAGCCAGAACTGGAGGGCAGGTTCCCAGAGGGCAGCAAAGGTGGTGGCAGTGCCTTGCAGCCCTGGGTCGGGATGGGGAAAAGCTCCATGGACGAGGCTCCACACCAGAGCTTGTCAGCCCAGAGGAGAAACACCATGCCTCGCACACCAGCTAGCAAAGGACCCATGAAACCATCACCACACCACAGTGCGTGGAGAGCTGCCACTGTAGCTACCAGCATTTCATCCTTTCCACAAATAGAGGACTTGCCCATCGCTGCTGCTGTCAGTTCAGCACGGTTTATGAACGCAAGGTCCACATACATTTGATTTAAAGATTAAAAACATTATGTAACGCACATGCTGTGACATGGGCCTGGTTTAAGGCAATACTAAATACTTAAGGAACAGTTTCACTGACTTCAAGCCAAAGATGTGATGTGACAAGGAAAGTTAAGCTGCGCCAGTCTGTTACATTCAGCAACATACAGCACTCAACTGGACAGCTCAAGCCCTCTCCACAGTGACCAACTAAGCATTCTTTTACACTGTGTTTGGCTTTGGTAAAAACTATTATCACTGCTCTTACTATTTTAGAGCCCAAAGTTTAAAAAATTAACACATCCGTTTCCAATTTGGTAACAGAGGAGGGGGGAAAAAAAGTAGAAAAGCAAAAGGAAGAGGAGTAAGAAAGAGAATAAGAGAGATGCCGAATGCCCACTTCTGAGAAGCTTTCTGAGGGATTTTACGGTCTGTCATGATGGGCCTGATCTTGTAAACATGCCTTCCTAGGAGCAGGCTTGCTGCTTTTAGAGGGATAAAATTCCACAGCCTGAAACATTCAGCTGAGTGTGTGTTTGCACAGCCACGACCCAGAGGTGAATGACACTGGACCAATCCTTACACGGCCGCTCCCTATGACACCAACCTCAAGTTTTTCTTCCAAAAACATGACCTAAAACCACAAGAACAACTTCATGACGGTATTTTTGCACACTGATAACAAGCCACGCAGTTCTTTGGCCCTGTGTCTTTCCTTCAAAGCCC